GGGGTAAGGAGAAGGGTAGGAACTGACAGAACCCTCCAGGTCCCCAAAATGATTAGAAGCTTCAGGGAAGAGACATGAAAACTGGAGGGGATTGGAGGATGGCTCGCTTCTGCCCTCTGGTGGCTCTTGGTAGCAAGTGCATACTCCAACAACACCTATCACCTGGAGAAGGTTCTAGGGATACTGGGTGGATACGCTCCCTGGCCCTTGGCCTGCCTTCAAAGAGCTGGTGATTGGATGAGCTCACGCTAAGACAGGGTTGGTTCATTCATTCATTCATTCACTCATTCATTTATCTATTCGACAGAGTGCGTGCCTGGCTGAAGCGTGGAAGCTGGTGCAGCTGGAGCAGGAGGTGGGGTAGAAGGGAGGGCCCACAGCGTGGGCCCTGGAGGGACTGAGGCAGTCTAGTGGGCCCAGGTGAACAGTCAGAAACTTGGGCAGGGTCTGGAAAAGGCTCAGCCAAGACTGGACTTCGAGTGGGCCTGAGGAAGAGCAGGGTCACCCCAGGAGGTCCCTGAGGTGAGGGACGCTGCCTAGGCAGGAGCGCACCAAGGAGAACGCGCAGGGCCCCAGAGCTCAGGGTGAAGTTCAGATCTGTCAGAAAATCTCACTCCTCACTAAGAGGGTGCCCGTCACGGTGCTGGGAGGGAGGGGTGCTCCGGGGGAAGGCAGAGATGGGGTGGGTGGAACGTGTGTGTATTTACCAGAAGACACTTCCTGAGTGCACATATGCTCACAACGGCAGCAACGAAATAAACGCAAATTTAGAAGAAAAACCATATTCATTGAGCCCTCACTATGTATACTCCCCCCTCCCAAGCATTTTTTTCCTTTTTTTTTTTTTAAATATTGTGTTATTAGGAGCTCATACAACTCTTATCACAATACCCTCACTATGTATACTAAGCAGCCGGTTGTGCCGTAGGTTAAGCACTGGGCTGCTAACCGCAGAGGTGGCAGTTCAAACCCACCGGCCGCTCTGAGGAGGAAAGCTGAGGCTGTCTGCTTCCCTAAAGTCTTCCAAACCCAAACCCAAACCTAACAGCCGTCCAGTGGATGCCGACTCACAGCGACCCTGTAAGACAGGGTGGGACTGCCCCTGCGGGTGTCTGAGACGGCCGCTCCTCGTGGGAGTCAACATCTCTGCCTCCCGAGGAGCGGCAGGCGATTTCGGGTTACGCCGATCGTGTGACCAGCAGCCCGATGACCACGCGTGGCCAACTCAGAGACGTGTCATCTGAGAAACCCCGCCGAGCAGCTCTGCTCTGCCCTACGGGGTCACTGTGGGCCAGGACCCACTCGGCAGGGTGGGGTTGGTTTTTGATCGATCCCGAGTGCTAGATGCTGAGCGCACAGCGTCATACGATAGCGAAACACACCGGGACAGTCCCTGCCTTCGTGCGGCTGCCAGGCTAGTGCGGGGACAGCGGCCTCTCAGGAAAGTCGCCCCCACGAGGGAAGGGATGGCGTGGTTGGTGGGTGCTGGGTGCCGTGGAGTTGGTTCAGACGTGTAGTGACCCTAGATACAATGGAGGGGACACTGTCTGACCCGGTGCCAGCCCCCCAATCGCTCTGGGTACGCCCACGGTGGCAGCACTGCATCGATCCGCCTTGTTAAGGGTCTTCCTCTTCTCTGCTGCCCCTCTGCTTCCACAAGCACAGTGTCCTTTGCTAGGGCCTGGTCTCTGCTAATCGCATATCCAGAGAATGTGGGGGGCAGGCCCCAAAACAGAGATGCCGGGGTCCGACCTGCAGAACCTGTGTGCGACTTCTCAGCGAAAGGTCTTTGTAGATGCCACTGAGTTACGACCTCACGATGGGAGCATCCTGAATTATTTTTTTGGGGGGGGAAAGGGAGGTGCTGAGCACCCGTACAGGAAAAAGATGAAGGAGGGAGGGGGGAGGCGCAGAGACACTCAGGGAGGAGGCCGCATGATATCAGAGGCATACACGGAAGGGCACATCGGCACAGCAGGAAGCGCTGACGTCGGTGGGCTACTGCCAGAAGCAGGCAAGGCTTGGAACAGGTCCATCCTCGGAGCCTGCTACTCATAGGTGTCTAAGAAAGAGCTTTATATCAAAGAGCCATTGTACATTAAGAAAACATACCAGCCCGGTTCAGATCAAGTCCCTAAGTCTGATATTAGCCCATCTGCCCAGTACCAGTCTGTAAATTCCTCTTCAGACTCACAGAACACGTGCAGTGATGCCGAGTGCAGGAGGATCACAGGCCAGTGGGTGGTAGGTCTTGTGGATCCAGTGGCAGTGGAAGCATCTCGGCGCTGGCGTGGGTCTCCACCTGGCTCCTCCAGCTTCAGGGCTCTGGCTGCCATCAGCGTAGCTCCATGTGGCTTGTCAATAGGAGTGTCTCGCAGGGAGTGAGTGAGCTATTTTATCTCCACCGTGGCTCCAAATGAGGTCATCAAGCTGCGACCTGATTGACGGGCTAAACTCCACCCTTTCACTCTTAATAGTCTCAAGTGGACAACAGATTATGTCACTAGCACAGAGCCCCAGAACCAGCCCTGCTGACCCTTGGCTCCAGCCTGCCTGCCTCCGCTGGGGCCTTTAGAAAGCACCCTTCGACAGTCAATGGCCACCCAGTGTGTGGGACTTGGCGATAAGGACCCAGGAAACAAGGGACTCACAAAAGGCACACAAGCAAACACAGACCGGGACTCCTCGGTCGGTGGCTCCTGCCGGGGTGGTGGCCACAGAGCACTGGGCTGCCTGGTGCACCGCCACTAGGATTTCCTACCCGAGCAGGGTCACCCGAGCTGACAGGATTCAGTCCGTGGAGCATCCACACAAGGCAGATTAGGAAGAAAGGCCTGGCAACTAATATATTTTCTTTTAATCAGCCAATAGAACACCCCGGGGACCATACGAATATTGTTCGGTGCAAGGACCTGGACCACCGGCTCACGTCCTTAAGAAGGTAGAGGAACAAGCCACGCACTACCGAGTCCCCGGGCACCAAAGGCCCTGCCCCGTCCGATGCCCGGGGCTGCCCCGACCACTGTGTGCTAGGCCCAGCTGCATGTCCCATTGAGTCATCCAGCCAGGTGTGTGGAGGAGCCAGAGACGGCTGTGGGGGGGCCGCGTGCCCGCCCCCAGGGTGGCTCACCTGACATGTGCACGGTCCTGAGGCAGGAGAGGGAGGCGTTGAGGCGTGCACACTCCTCCTGGCTGGCCCCGTACTTCTCCACGGTCTCACACACCTGCTCTTCCGTCATGTCCAGCAGCTCCTCCAGACTAAGCTGGCCAGGGGGGATCTCCTACAGGAGGGAGGGAGGAGGAAGAGGAGGAGGAGGGTCAGTCAGGCCAAGAGGGCCTCTCTGCTGTCTTCTGTGGGCCCTTGGTGGATAGTCTCTGTGGAAGGCTGCTTTGCACAGCAGTCAGGGGGGCATGGAGGCGGGGCGGGGTGGTGGTGGGGGTCTGGTCTTGGGCCCTGCAATGAATTCCAGTTTTGTCCCTCCTAGGTTAGATGGCCTCAGTCAAGCCACTTCATCTCCCTGAACTTCACCCTGACCATAGAATGTTGCCTTCACCTGAACCCTGACACTAGGCGACTCTGTGTGTCCAGGTAGAACTGTGTCCCTGTGGGGTGTTCGACCGCTGCTTTATGCCTTAAGGCAGGGGTCCTCAAACTTTTTAAACAGGGGGCCAGTTCACTGTCCCTCAGACCCGTTGGAGGGCCGGACTATAGTTT